TTCTTGAGAAAAAATAAATATAAGACAGTATCTTATTTTCAGGGAAACATGGTAGTTCCTTATGTTGACACCTCTGTATGATGACCAGTTTGTTACAGTCCCTTAGGTGGTCAACTTACAGTGGTTCTACTGTATTTTTCTCTGAAAATTTTTTGAGTAGGTTGCAGACATGATATAAATACTTTTATATCTAAATTATGTGATATGATCACAGTACAATGACCTAAATCAGGAAATTAATGTCAGCATAATACTTTGATCTTATTCAAATTTTGTTACTGTAATAGTGTCCTTTTCTGGTTCAGGATAAAATACAGGTTCACACATAGCATTTAGTTGTCATGTCTCTTTAATCTGGAACAGTTTTCAGTCATCATGAATGGTAACTTTTTAGGGTACTAGCAGTTTATTTGGTAGAATTGTTTTCATTTTGAGTTTCTTACACTTTCCCCATGACTAGATTCAGGTTAGGGACCTTTGGCAGGAAACCTAGAGAACTGATACTGTGTCCTTCCCGTATTATCATGTCAAGAGTCATATAATGTTATTACTTTAACTTATAAACATATAAACTTATTACTTTACTGGTAGAAACTGGACACTTGGTTATGGTGTAACCTACCAGGTTCTCCACAGTAAAGTTACTGTCACTCCTTTTGGATTATTTTTTTCATGGGGATACTCACCCTGTTTCTATCATATTTTTACCCACTAATTTTAGCAACTATTATTGATTCTTATCTGAAGCAATGATTACTGTTAAAGGTAATGGTACTTTTTAAAACAAAATTTCTTCATTCTTTCTATATTTATGCAGTTCTACTCTAAGGAAGAACTCATTGTGTTTCATTACTATCATTTTAGGAAATTAATTTATTGAAATTTCCTTTAAATGTTTCCTAGATCTCAACATAAAGTATGAAATTACAAACAATAAGAAAACCAAAAGATTAAAGAAAAATGGAGGACATTTTTCATTTATGAAATAATTTCTCCACAAGTTCTAGGTATACTCATAGATCACTAATTTTTCTATGTGTGCTCATAGATCACTAACTTTTCTTCATTGATAGCTTTTTTTTTTTTGTTAAGTATAAGGCGATACTGCTAACTGAAATTAAGGACCAAATAGTGCATGCCTGAAATTTAATGTAACCTGATAGAAAAATCTGCTTTTGTTTTCTAAAATTCCATTTTCTTCCATTTCACAAAAAGAGGCATACTCTTGTTAGTTGGTAATTACTTTGAAGAGGATACTTTGTTGAATAATTAGATACAGCACGTGGGTATCCTTTTTTTTTTAACCTTGATTTTTATACATTTGTTCTCAAAGCAAATTGCATCTGGTGAGTGTAAGAAATACTGAAGAGACAATTGTTCTTTTTTTTGCAAGAGAAAATTAGAGAGATTTTCCATACTTATTTTGTGCATTCTGCAAAGAGAGAAGAAAATTACAAAGAAAGAGGGAGAGGAAGATTGCTTCCCACCCTTATTCTTGAGAAACCAGATCCTGAGAGTATTTGCATTGTAATTGTCAATTTGAAAAAAAGCTTGAGCTGTGATTTGGAATTCCATCTCTGACAATACAATAGAGGATCACTATTGATAAGAAATGTTTAATTTCATATTTTGTCACTAATATAAGCAGTGACCTACACAATTTTAAGAGGTGGATTTGGATTGTAAACAGTGCAAGTGGAAACTGGTAAAGATTAATTTAGGTTTATGTAATTCTCAGCTCCCAAGTTAAATGGCTTATCCTGGCTGGAAAGGTCATGTTTAAGGTGAGAAAACACTCTGCTCTCTTTTGGATATTAAACAAAAAAACCTTATGGAAATTCCTATACAGTATGGGACAGCAATTAATGCACTTTGTTTCTGTGGTGAGAAGTCAAATATATAGGTGAGTGTGTGGGCCTGGACTTTTAGCTAACGTGCTCTTTTGCCCCCTTAAAATGTCTGTTTCATTGTTAATGAAAACTATGACATTTGAAAGTTAAGATATTAGGAGTATTCATTAAAAATTCCAAGATGTCAGAGATTTCTAGATGTAATGGCATATTTCAGGGAGGCAATCTTGGTTTTGGTTAAAACTTGCTGCTTTTTAGTGATCTAATGCAGGGGTCCTCAAACTTTTTAAGCAGGAGGCTGGTTCACTGTCCCTCAGACCGTTGGAGGGCCGGACTGCAGGCCCCGGGACGAGTCGGCTGCTACGGCAGGACAGGCAGCGGCGGCAAAAACACCTGGCGGGCTGGATAAATGTCCTCGGTGGGCTGTAGTTTGAGGACGCTTGATCTAATGAATCCTCAGAACTTTATTCCCATTTAATAAAAACACAGAGTTAATTGTTAGGAGTTGGTCCGGGAAAGCCATTCTTTTTTTCTTATTTAGAGTTTTTAAGGAGATGTTCACTCTTTTCTGTTTCCTTTCTCCCGATTTGACCAATAAAGCCACGCACACTCTGTAATCCACTTTCCTTTTTGAGCCTCAACTATTCCTATATTAATACTATTGGAGTTACGTGAACACCAGATTTTCTTAACTTGGTAAGGCCCTTCACTGGCTCTCAGATCTCATGTGTAGTATTTTAAGCAACTTTCTTTTGGTATCGCCATAGAAGTCTCTTTTTAAGAGAGATGAGTATTTTACGTTAGTTGTACAGTATATTCTTTTCATTTAAAAAAAAATTTTGAGTGGTTTTTCTAGTGCTTTGCACTTTGACTAGTCAAATCCAGATTTTTGTTTTCCTAATTGGAATTCTTTATTATTATTTTTTTTTTTATTAAATGATAGCTGTATACATTAATGCAAACATGGGGTACAGTGTAGTGTTTTCATATACAATTTGAAATATTTTCATCAAACAAATCCAGATATTTTTAAGCCTATGTCTATCTGCCTTTCCTGCATAAACAATAAAGTGTGTGTTTAACATTAAGGGCACATTATCATAATACAAACTCCTTTTGATCCAATGCTTACTCATAGTTACTTACGTGTGACTGGTTAAATTTAGCAGCGTAGGGGTGGGCGTAGTGGGTGCTAAAGTTGGAAAAGAGGTGTCCAGACTGTGCGCACAAGATGAAA